CGCGGGGCGCCCGCGCCGAAAGTAGGTGAAGTCGGGCGCGCAATGCTGCGGCGCCGCTGTTGGAGCACGCGCGATGCGCGCTAGCCATTGTCTTGATGCCGCCCGGACTTACGCTCTGCCATGGTCTATCCTACGATACCATTCCGTTTCTGCTTGCCTCGCGTTCTCCTGTTCCTGCTTACATACACGTGCACCGGTCCGTAGCCATCAGTCCTGTCTGTCACTTATACCGTCTCGCCCGCGCAGCGCCTCCCTCAGTCTTGCACTCTGCTCGAGCGCACCGTACTGAGGGTGAGCGCGCATTTCTTTATCCCGCTGCATTCTGCTTTTGCTCACTCTGTACTGTAGTCTACTGCGTATCACTACAGGTACAGAATATATTAGTCTTGCACTCTGCTCGAGCGCACCGTACTGAGGTCTACTGCGTATCACTACAGCTGCTACCGCTCACAGCCGCGGCCCGACTCACAGCCGCGTTCTGAGGGCTGGCCCAGCCCCGGCGTCGGGGTCCAAACCGCTCGACGGCTCCCCGCAGTCTTCAACCCCATCGTATCCCAGTCCTTGCCACCCACCCTGGGTGTGAAAGAATTCCTTGAGGCGCTGTACCTCTCGTGCGATGTCTACGGCCCAGCGGATGGCAGCGGATGCAGATCCGGATGCTTCTTTGGTCGAGCCGGCGATAATATCTGCAGCCTTCTCCCATGACACGTCGGCTTCAGCGAGAGAGGGGTGATTCATCATGAGCCGTTCCCTTGCGTAGAGCTGATCGTCGAGGCTCCCAGTACTGTATGCGCCAGATGCCAGGAGTATATCGCCTGCCACGGATAGCTGACGGACCCCGACCGTTCCGGATAGAGATCGACCGCGGGCCCCTGGTGTCGTAATCTCTTGCCCTGGGCATACAGAAATTACCTTTTTTGAGGGGCTTTGCATGTGAGATCGATGCGGTGTACTCACCCTGAAAATTCATTACGCTCCGAGATCCGTCGTACCGTCGCAACTTTGCTTCGACGGCTATGGCCTTTGCGACCCCATCGAGCTGCTCCATCAGGGACTGCACATCGTGGTAGAGCTGAAGGCATGATAACGGGCGATTTTGGCCGCTGAACAAGACTTGCAACCGGATTAGAACGTCTTGCAATCTTCTGTACGCCAGCGCAATGGATCTATAAACATCTCGCCCTGGCATGAAAGCGACCTTGGTTGCAGGTCAGATCTTTTGAGCAACCGAAATAGCTTCTCAGGCTCACCGACGGTTTATCCGTTGGAGACCAGCGGGCCGCTTGTACATCTGCGGAACGCTGGAAAGTTTGAAGTTGCAGCTGCAGATGGCGTGAGACTTGAATCCGAAGATCGATATCTGGATCGATTGCTGCTTGGGCTGGGGGCTGAATCCCCGGATCCGCAACGTGTCCACTTGATCGCATCTCGTCCTTGCCATCTCGAAGGTGTTCCTCGGCTTCTCCTCCTACAATCTCGGACCTCTCCTCAAATGTCATGTCTGCTCTCCCGGGTACGGATCGCTGAGCGATTTCCCCGGCTCCACGTTGTGGCGGCGTCAGTCCTGAAACCGCTGCAGGTTCGTACTGGCGTCCGATTTCGGGCTGAGGGGCGTTCTGAGGATCTCTTGCTACGCCGCTCCCTCGGCGATCGACGGCGATCTTACGATCCTCTTCGTAAGGATTGATTGGTTGGAGACCTGCGGGTCGTAAGTTACGCCAAGATCGCCCTAAAAACAATGAATGTGACCGGGGTGAAAGATGTAGAAAGGCCGCTCACCCGGTGGAGCCGATGCTCGTCGCTTAGCCCAGTCTTCCGGCATGTCTGCTTCAACAGGGAATAACATTGATATTAAAAACATTTTCGTGGAAGGTAAATGTTACCTTGGGCCTGCGATGAAAGATTGGAAAGTGGAGGTATCAAGGGATCCCCGCCTACTACAGCGCTGTGTCGCCGTAAGTTTGGCTTCTCCTCGAATCAAATCAAAAGGAGACCCCTACCTATCAGGTGCCATATTACCCCCCGCTGTCGTAGTTGCCGCCTTCCGTAGTTGGAGGCGTGTGCGCGGCCTGGTGTGAAACTGGCTCAAGGTTTGCGCGGGCTGCTGCTTTGAAGCGGCGTCCCCTCTTTCGGTCTCGCCGTTCTGAAAGGGTCTGTCTACTGAGTCGTTTGTTTGCCCTAACGTTCGGGAATCAGTCTCGCGGAGAAACGCGAAGGGTCCGGTGATGTCGAGTGCGCGCCGGTTAGCACCCCAGATTGGCCCTTGCTGCGGGGCTTCATCGGTAGTATTCGGTTCTTCCTCTTTAATGCGATCCAAGTACATTCGCGGTTTTTTGCACCCATCTGGACGACCATTCTGTGATGAGGGCGGGCAGGTAGCCTTATCGCGACCTCGTTTCTTCGATTCGCTTGGGCGTAAGGGTTGCGGGCTTGGCGGCCGGCTGGGAGCGGCGGACGACGCAGATTGAGGCGGCAGCCCTACGCTCGCCGTGACGGTCGACTGTACTCCAGCTGGTAGCATCGGATACATCAGCAGTCCCTCCAATTCCAGACGCATGTGTGCTCACCGCCGCCGAGAAAATTGGCTGCGCCCCCATTGTCAACAAATTTAGTCAAAACAGTTTTGTTGCTCGCAGTTTCCCGGCGCCGCAGAGGGAGAGCTTTCGTCGGTCTGGCAGTGTAAATACCGGAGGGTGCTGAAAAGCACGTTTAAAAGACGTATACTAAAACGCAGGCGGTGGGTCTTACTGCTTTCTGAGCCGGTTCCGGAAGTGCTCGGGTTTGGGGCAGCTGCAGACTCCAAACCTCCCTGACTGTCGTCGTCTGCACGTGGTTTTGAATCAGATTACAGTATATGTATGGCATAGATGCCTTACCGGGAGCGTGCTTTCCCGGTGGTACAGCCGCATTAATCGCGAAACGCAGCATCGGCGGTTTCAACGCCTGCTTAACCCACCAATCTGCACCCCTTTCATAAAATGTATACAATCGCAATCATGAAGCGAGGCCCACCTGCGTCCTTCCACCAAGCGCTAGAAACTTGAGCCTCGGGCAAAAGCTTCACGTACCCGCCGTCGTCCGGGGTTTGCGCAATTCTACTTGCTCCTTCAAACTGCCCCGGTAAAGAGCCGTCCTTGATCGGAATGAGGTGTGCAACAAGGATGTTGTCTCGAACTTGCGCTTCGTTTAGATACTGCCCGGGGCGTAGCTTCCGTCGGAGAATCTTTATAACTCGATCATTTTCATAGATTGCAGCGAGGGCCAAAGACGGTAAGGACTTAAGATTTGCGCCGCCCCAATGTGCGTACTGCCGGTTAAGTCGTATGATCAGGGAGCGTAGCTCCAGGTCGTATGTCTTTTGACTGTCCGCGTTCATGAGGGTCGCCTGATAGTAATACCAAGCGTAGTGAAGTTGAGATGAGAGATCCGACATTGCTGCGGCCTGTTCGCCGGTCATGGGGGATGGCTGCTCAGCTTGTGTCATGATAGGTTGGGGATCGGATGGAGATCGAGATGGAGAACAGGATGGCGAGGCCTGGGATGCGACGGGGCTGAAGACTGCGTGGAGCCGCCGAGCAGTTTGGACGCCGGCGCCGGGGATGGGCCGGCCCTCAGAACGCCGGTGTGAGTCGGGCCGCGGCGCGCCGAAGCATTGGCCGCCCGACTTCACCTATTTTCGGCGCGGGCGCCCCGCGGGTTAGGGCGCTTCCGCGGCGGTGCAGCCTGCGGACGGACCATGTGAGACGGAGCAACGTACTTGAGGCAAACTTTCGGTGCCTGATGATTGTCAACTGGCTCCGTCGGTTGACTCGCAGAAATACCACACGTTGCTGTATTACATTTCACCTTGAGCTGGGATATCCAGATATATGGGCGATTGAACTATTCGACGAGGGCTGCGCCATGCTGCATCCACCGCCGCCGGCGACACGCTGCAGGCGTCATCGCAAAGGCACAGGTACTCTGTCTGGTCGAAGCACCGCCGTGGTAGATACATGCACGGTGAGGGAGCTTGCTCCCGAAGAACACCGGGAAGGCTAGGAGATCCACACAGATTATTCGGGCGTGGAGCACTGGGTGCATGGCACCGCGTACACAGCGAAATGTATGTATATCGCGAGGAGTAGCATGAGAGCTCCCGACCCAATCGACCGGAGCGCCTTCCCTTCACTCCACCCACAAGAACACCGAACCATCGAAGACTTAAAGCCAGATACGTCCGAAATCCGCCGGTAATATGCCGTTTTGGCACCAACCGACCCTGCAAATCCCCTCCCCCCCCACCCCTTGCCTCCAAATTCATGTGCCGCACCACCCCTGCTCTACAATACCTCAAGCCTAGATCGATGGCTCCCGTGCGCCTGCGTAGTTGACGCGGGCATCCATTTCCCGCCACGCAATCCACGCCCGCCGGTATTCTGAACACCAATCCAGCGTGAGCGCCCGTGTATTCACCCATTGCCGCCGGTCTTCTGCCCGCCGACCCAGCACCGGCGGCCCCTGATCCCGGCGCCGCTTCGTACACACCGCTCAACCTCCCCGCTCCGCCTTTTCCTGCGATTCCGGTGAGCCGCCGAGCTGCCCGCCCTCTGTTCCCAATGCGTACGCAGCCCCCGAGGCGTACGGTGTCGGTTGGATCCGACGCTCGGCCGGCCATCTCCCCGAAGAATAGTCCGTCACAACGCCGCCGTCCACCTCCGCCCGAATTCCTGAGGCAAGCCTGCAGCAGGTGATAGATCCACGAAGCCACTAGAGTGACGAGTGGCACCTGCCCCGGGAGCATCTTTGGCGAAAATGTCATTGATGCTGCGGCCCCCGAGCTCGACGTCAAAGGATAGTCGACGCTCCGGGCCTCCCGGCAAGAGGGAAGCGCACAGAACAACTGCCGCCGCCCCTCCCGCAGCATCCGTTCTGTTTGTCGACTCGAGGAGGGCCCACACCGGCGTCCAGTAGATGAGGCGATGCTCGGCGGGCGGGCGAAGGTCGCCTGGGCCGATCTGCATCGACTTGTCGGATGAGGGTGTTTCGCATTAAAGCTACAAAATGTTGAGGAAAAACATACCGCTCACAGCCGGAACCCCTTACTCTTGCACTCCAATTAGACTGTTCAAACTTGACTCGGGAACTTGAACATAACGCCCTTCACCAAAAACCATGACTCACATGGACGGGCCTTCACCGATCTCAGTCGCCTATCAAGTCGACCGAACGTAATGAAGCAACCAACGACCTCCTTTGATTGCCACGTTAAACTTTGTCCGCACATGCACCGACAAAACAACTCACCCGCGTCCGTAATACCAGCCCTGTCTTCTCCTCGTCCCCGCCGCCCTTCTGTCGCCCGTACCTGCAGCAGGTGATGGACCCACGAAGCCACTAGAGTGACGAGTGGCACCTGCCCCGGGAGCATCTTTGGCGAAAATGTCATTGATGCTGCGGCCCCCGAGCTCGACGTCAAAGGACAGTCGACGCTCCGGGCCTCCCGGCAAGAGGGAAGCGCACAGAACAACTGCCGCCACCCCTCCCGTGGGTTTCGCCTTGGTTGTCACAGCGAAGACGAGGCGTTGCGCGTGCGCATACTGGTCACGACGAACGCTTGTGCTTCACCGAATCGTCGCTCGTATGGGGAACACTAAAAGGCCGGGCATTAGCAGGGGTATCCTTCACACAAAGCTATGCGTACCGTGTATAGCGCCACGTGAACAGCCGGTGAACGGGAGATGTCGTGAATCAGGGCGGTGGGGTAGGAGCGGGCACAACCAATGATATCGAAAGTGAAGGCGACAGTCGGGAACGAGTGTACCGTTTGTCACAGCAGGGTTGCATGGCGGAGGAGAATTTGGAGCGATGGTCGTGGCGATGCGCTGACGTGGACGGAGTAGCCGCCGGTGAGCTGGCGGCGACACCGGGCGCCCAACAAAGCGCCACCAGTGGCGCCCGCGCACCGAGTGAGGCCAACTTTCCTCATCCTGCAACCGCTTTCAGCTTCAGGCACCACCCGTTGACGGTCTTATTTTTCGACCGGTGTGCACCCCCGCTTTGATACTAAAACTTTGCGCTAAAATCCCTGCCCCGTTCTTCTAAGCGCCGTTGCGACCTGAAGCATGTCGCTTCCGAAATCGCCCGTTTTGCAACAGACATCATGTGGGACGCGGCGTATATCCGAGCGCCTCTCAATGTGCATAGACTGCTGTCGAGGCAAAGTTAATAAAAAGCCAGAGCGAGAGCTGAAGATATCCTGCCGGTTCATAAGCACGTCTTCAGCCGTCTTCCGTCAGTCCCTTGCTGATAAGCTTTATACCGCAGATTTCCGCAGCGTTGAGACCGACGCCTCCGGCTTCTTTGATGACATTTCGCTAAACCCCGGGGACCCCGCTCATGGTTCCCCGGATTACCGGACCATTTTCAACCGAAGGATGGACTCCCGGTCCGCAGACGAGTTGAAGGTGCGCCCATTCACATTGTCAACTCACCTCATGCTGTCTCGCTCACCTTTGTGCTACGTGGTTCTGTTTCAGTTCACGATCGCTGCCTATATGCTTCCCAAACTACGTGCAGAAAGAGATCACATCTTGGCGGGAAATGTGGTCCATCGCAAGACCCGTCCGGGCATAAGGGATTATTGCGGTCTGCAAGCTCCTCCCCCTTTATCCGTATTTCGCTTAACTAATCGTAGACGGATGCCTGGCGGACCTGTTCTCAAAATCGTGGTTCTGCGCTTCTTGTGGAGTCGACTTGTGTGATGAATGCCTTCAAGACATCGTCCGCCCATCCGATCAAGTAAGTTTATTTATCACCTCGCTCAGTCATATTGATTTGTGACCATTGTTTGAAGCTTCTAGATGGCAGGTTTTGTACAGTGAACAATAAGGAAGGACATACCCGAGGCAGCTTCCGACCGCGGACAAGATTTTCGCTGTCAGAGTTAGATAGCGCCATACTCGAGATGAGTCAGTTTCTCGTACACAGGTGGGTGATCAGGTGTGGTGTAAACCATAAAGCGTACTTATGCCCGATAGACGGATCACTCTACGCCCCGAACGGACGCCGGGGGCGCCCATCGACATACCCACCTTTCAAAACGGTGCTTTCTCAGAGGACGATTTCTACTCTGTTTGGGAGCGCAACAAACTCGTGGTCGTTAGGGGCATCGATCGGACTCTCCAAGGCGCCTGGACTCCCGCGTTTCTTATGAAGAGGTTCGGCCGGGAAAGGGTCAAACCCATCTATTGCGGCACTGACATTGAAGCCGAGGGCGAATACACGCTTGCCGACTTCTTAAGTGCATTTGAAGGCGGCGACTCATGTGATGCACTCAAGCTGAAGGTTGGCTTTGCCTACGGGTTGTGCGATCCAGATCCTGCTGAACGACTCTTAGGACTGGCCACCTCAAGATTTGTTTCGCCAGAAGTTCCCAGACTATCATGATAGTTTTATAGAAGCGATCCCGGTTCCTACAAGAGACGTTGCGGCTTTGAACGGGGTGAAAAATCTCGCCGCTCACTTTGATCGGAGCGGCTGCCCTCCTGATCTCGGTCGGTATCACAGAGTTAACATTCGATATACGTGGAGCTGACGGAGGTGGGCGTACAGGTCCCAAAATGTACGTTGCATACGGTAATCCCCACAGCTCTCATGGGACCACCAAACTCCATCTCGACTTCACTGATGCCGTCAACCTCATGACGTTCTGCCCCGATCCGAGTCAAGTCGGGGCTGTATGGCATGCTTCACCTCCGGAGAGCCAGCCGCATATCCGGCACCATCTACGGACCATGTATCCGACGGAATATGAGAGGACAGACCCCATCCACTCACAGGAATCTTACATCACAGATCAGGTTTGGGAGGATCTAAGATTGCAGTACGGTGTTCAATATGTACGGATTGAACAGTTTGTTGGCGACGCGATTTTCATTCCGGCAGGATGGCCCCACCAGGAAGGTTCTTCCCGCATTCATGGCCTCTCAATACTGATCGTACTCACAGGTCCAGAATCGTCAGAATGCGGTCAAAATCGCCTGTGACTTCGTCTCACTGCACAACCTCGATGTAACAGCTGGCATGGTTCCTCAACAGCGAGCCCATCGCCTGAACAGCGGCGGCCACGGCGAAGACTTACTGCAGCTAGACACCCTCGTATGGCATGCATGGCGATCTCTGTCCACGTTTCCTGCGTCTGCGATGCTAACAGAGGCTCAATTCATCGGCGGCGGTATGTAACACAATTTCCCGCGGCTCTGTAACTACTGACGGGTCAATTAGTGGCGTCGCTTGCGATACATGCGCCCTCCGCGCTCCCAGCCGGTAACGAAGAGGTCAGGCCATACCGCCTCCGTCTTGGAGTCCATTCTCCACGGCATATTGCTAACGCAATCTTTTCCATCGAAGGCCGAATTGCGTGAACCGCCTTCATCGATCTCCAAGGAAACTAATCCCGGGCGAAGCAAGCAAAAATCTTCGAAGAGCTCCACCAAGCGATCACAAGGGGGATCCTCGGGAGAGACGCGACCGAGGCCCAGCGATTCCTGCGACTTCTACTGCGTTTATCCTGGATGTGAAAAGAAAGACATGGCCGGTCGCGGTCTCATAACGCATATGTACGTTGATTCCGAACCGTTCCTTGGCTCAACGTTCACCAGGGCTGTATAGAATAGATCGGCATCCTGAGATATGCTTTGTGCAGCGTCTAAAGCCGTTGGTTCAAATATCGGGCACACAAAGCGTGCGAAGCTCATGGCCAAGCTGAAGAAATGCTTGAAACCAGAATTTCTTGCGGGCCTTTCATAGGGCATCCAATAGCTGTCGACACCTTACCCGATGTTCGGGGTTGCGGGCGCCGCCAGACTCCAGGCCCTCGCGCAATCCCGAAGAGCGTCATATGGCACTGCTTCCGCGTTCTTCCCTATCCAGCCATGCCCGCCTTCGCTCCCCCCGCCTCTCCACACCATAGCAGCTGCTACCGCCGACATCGCCTGCGGGACGCACAGAAGCAAGCGCGCGTTCCTCTGCGGTCGGCGGTGTGAGTCATTCATTACAGATTGCGACTCACTATGGTCCTCATGGCCCTTCGGTTCACTAAATGTCTTTGTAATCCATGGATTCCGTTTCTTCGCCGCGCTTGATGATTGCCCGCTCTGGCACGTTCCGCTCGAGCCTCCTTGCGAGCGGCCCATCGGTGACTTCTTCATTCCTTCGAACATGGGGACTAAATGTACGAGAGTCGCTCCATAAATCTGCTGCAGGGAGGTGCTCGGTATATAGGGGATGGGAGAGGTAGCACCTACGTTTTCGCACGAGGCGGTCGTCGTCATCATCAGCGCGACCGGCTCCCCGGCGGCTGGACCCCCGAAGGCGGAGCGCGAACAGTTAAGTCACCGGCGGCTATATGTGCAGGAAGGCGGCGGGCCGATGAATGGGCCGCGGCATACGTCGCAGAGATTGCAAACGAGCTTGTTCACAATGCGCGGCTCAGTGTGCCAGAGCGTAAATGCCTTGTTGGCGTTGATGATCCCTAAGGGGTGACCAGGATGACACTCTACGTGCGGTCAGAGCTCAATGACCTCAACGGCACTTCAATTCGTCGTCTACCCTAAAGCCCTTCTTATTCATGTGTTTCACCACCCAATTGCCTTACGCGGATCTCTTCGCACGCACTGCACTTGGTTACCTGCGCATGGGCTTGTGATGCGGTAGGCAGACGTTGCTGTATATACTGCCGGCGGCAATGCAGCCCACCCTACGGTGCGGTTATGCAATGTGGGATTTCAACGCCATTACTGGCTTCCCTTCATCGGCGTTAGGAGAAGACAGGGTGCCTGCATCACAGCGGTGCGGCCGCGATTCGGCTGCTCTCAGCCGTCTGGAATGCGATGGTCTATCGGTAACTGCGCTTTCAAATAAAAGACAGCACATCGCCGCATGCCGCGCACATGCGCCGGCTTAGGCGCCGAATACATTTGTCCGCATTTACTAGCGATCTGGGGTTTTCCTCTCACGCTCGCGCCATACAACTACCGTCCTACACCCACATCGCATCCACAACACTTCCGCGACAATGCCTTCTCATTTGGGAGAGCGGGAGGCGCCGGGAGTCGAAACAGATACAGCCATCACCGGCGCCATTCCTGCATTGCTTCGTCGATTGCTTCAGGGGCACGTCAAGGGAGAGGCTGTAGGCACCATACCCTGGAACGAATGGCGTATTTATTCTCAAGAAGACCAGACAAAAATTGAAACAGCAGCTAGAGTGCTTTTTTCTGCGTTCACGAGACAATGTCGGAGTTCAGTCTTTCGTCGAACAAACCTATTCACTCACCAATCGTCGGCCGTAGATCGGACATCATGGGCCGTTCATGAAGTCTGGACGGAAATCAAAGACTGCATTCACAACCGGGCATCCCTGACCCAGAAATTGCTGAACCTTCTGGCTTCTTATCCGCCTCTTTTACCTCTGCAGCCGAACGGCCATCTGCCTATTCTAGCGGGGCCTTTCATCATTACCGACAAACACGGCGTCATTATCTTTTGGAGTCTTCCTGGAGTCCTATCCACTGCTCTACAGGTTTGTGGTCATTTGTCACCCTCACTCGATCTTTCTGATCTCCAGCCAGACAGAGTTTATGTCGGCAACGAGACGGTTGGGGGAAAGGGGTGGCTTGGCGATCTCGAAGGACACCAGCTGCTGGAAGACGGGGCCTGTATTGTACGACTCTTATCCCGAGAAAATACGCAGCAAGACGCCGCAGCTGGCCGGAAGACTTGCCCTTTCCGTAGGAAGCACTTCGGTGTGGGTCCAAAGCGACGGTTGGCGGGTATGCAATCGATTTGTCCTGTGGACATAACCTAACACGAAGGTTGCTCAGACGTCTGCTTCTGGCCTGGAATTCACAGCGGAGCCTAGAGCCAGCGCCGTTGAGCAATGGCTTTATTCATGTCGTCAACTCGCTGCAGTTCTGGGAGGAATTCTAGCTGTAGTCTCACCAAAGCAATACAGGGCCCAGGTCGGTATGATCCACGCCTTGAAGAAGGAGATCCCGGACGGCATATTCCGATGGCCTTTCATATCCGAACAATGTGAACTGGTCGCCAATCGTGAATGGCTTTCGACTCGATATATCAACGCGACATCCATCAACTACAGTTTACATGCGTCTTTTGCGGCAGAAAAGGGTCCTTGTTTCGTAGCAATGCGCAGCCTAGGGATATCGGTGCCTTCGGACCCGGGTTCGATTCAAGTAATGCTCGAGTCGTTCGTGCAATACGGCCTTCCTCCGCAGCCCGGTGATTCGATACGCTTGATTTTATCTGCGGACGGGAGTACATTGAATCGATGGGCCGGGGATCAAGGGGCGATGAACCCGGAATGCGTTCGGGACTTAAAGCAGGAATTTGGCCCCCGCGATTAGAGGACTTGTCGGTATCATATTTCATAGAGCTCGACGTGTTCGGTCGTTCCTGTTACCGCTTTGGGGATGTACCGGAGGCTCTTGATGTTTCCCCGCGGGTGATAACTATTCTACATGAATACCGGCTCAATGACCTGCGGCCACCATCGGCGCAAAAACATGCCCCGACTCGCGATGCCGGTCGGCTGCTCCCCTGGGGCCTGCAAGCTCCGTCCTGCTGGCGTCGCTATTCAATGATCGCAAACACGTTCTTGAGCTGAAACGCTTGAATGCTCCTGTCCCGGAGTTCATAGATCCTTGACGCTACAAAGATGTGCATCGTATCAAGCCGGATCATCGTCCACATCCTATTTCGGCGGCAAAAAAGACACCTCACGGACCCCGTGTCATCCACGGCGCGCCAAGACGGGATCAACTACGCAACCGGCGGGGCGAGGAGGAGGAGGAGGGAGGTAGCTACTGATGACGCCGCTCCTTGGTCGGCCGTAGGGCTTCCGGTGTGCGCGGGAGTAGAGGAAGGGCTGGGGGACGGAGTGGATGCTGTTAGACTAGTCAGACTAGAGGGGGGATCGAGGGATTGCTGCGGCGAGATAAAAGCCTTGGCAAAAAATGTCGAGGTTGGGGCATTGGTGCGCAGGGAGGAGCCCGCTCTCCTCGACTTCAGAGACGGCTTCTTGGAAACCTGCAACCATATTTCACCCGTCGGTGGCCGATGGAACACGGTTGGAGGCTGATTCAAAGAGGCCGTCCACAACCTCTTGATGCGCTATTCTCCTCCACAAAGCTGTAGCAGCGTCTTCGTCGAACAGATTGTTAGTGAAGGGCCTATGTACTGCCGACTGCCCTCGTCCAGAACCGGACGAAGAGCTTGCAAAGACGGTTCCGAAGCCTACAGGGCGCTGGGTTGAGAAGGCATCAGTCGAAAACTCTCCCCTTGATGGCTCGCCGGATGGTGGGAGTGCCGGAATTTTTTTCGCGGTTTCTAACGCAACGGGGCCCATTCCAGGAGGGGCCGATGCATTGATTCCGGCCGGATCTGCTCCGGCGTGGACGGGAACAGTCGCAGAAGCAATACGCAGGCCGCGTGGGCTGCGGGACGCGGCAATATTGATCGGCGGCGGCGGTATGACTCCTGAGAGCTTCGGCGGATTGGGGCCCACCTTTGAAAGCAAGACGTCGCGGTGTTGCACCTGTTTCTGAAGTTTCTGCAGCGACCTCACTTCGCCAGTCAGATGCATTGCCCAGTCGATGACGACGAGCGCCGACTCGGACGGAAGGTTCTCTGACCCCTTGATGATGTCCGGCAAGTTCCCCCAAGGATCGTTGGCTTGTGCAAGGGCCGGGAACAGCGCTACCAGTCGTTCTTGAGCCCGCAGACGCTCCTGAAGCGAGCCTTTAGCGTATGTTCCGGACGCAAGAAGGACGTCGCCTGCTAAAGACAGAATATGAGGACCGGAGGTGCTGAGAATGGGCCTCGTTTGTTGAATCAGCCCGGATGCCCCGGCGTCCGCAGAGTGATTAGCGGCGGTTCCTGTTCCGGCAGCTATAGGGAGGTCTCAATGCGCAACCACGGTGAACATGACAAGCTTCACCCACCTTGATTTTCCGAATTTTGGCTGTGAATGCGGTCCCTGACCCGGACATTGACCAGATCGTTGGCTCGAGCAGCGACATCTCCCATATCGTCCAACAGCCTCTGCAATGAGCGGACCATTTGGAGACCTCCAAGATTTGTGTCAACATCTCTAGACGTGATGGGACGTTGAAGCAGGAGCAGGATCTCGCTGAACGCTGAGTATATGTTGGCTAATGATCTCTGAAGCCCGCCAGATGCATCAACGCCGGCCTAAGGTGCAAGTAAGTCGCCGATTTCTGGTGCAAAAGATGCACGGTAAACATACCCTGAATGTATCCGTCTGGGACCAAAGGATCGCCTGTTGTTGCGCGGCGATTACCAAGCTTTCCAGCAAGTCTGCAACAGGATTTTGAGCCTCCTCCACAAGCAACGCCTGTAGGTGGACGGCAGCCTGGTTGGGGACTATAGTGGTCGGGGCCGCCTCCTGACCGTGGGATACGGCGTCCGCTGTAAAAATTGGGCGTCCGTTGTGGGAGTCCCTGCGCCGCTCTTCCCATGAAGCATCAATTGGGGTAGCATGAAGGCGGTCTTGCATATGATCTTTCCAAGAGACCAAATGGCCGAAGCGGGCGCTCTTCCTGTGATCAGCGCCGCCTTCTAGAGCAACGTTTGCATCAACCGTGGCCACGGACATTTTTCGAAAGGCTTGATGTGGTTGAGCAATATATGTCAGCAAACCATAAGCGGCGGGGGAAAGGGGGGACGACTGCCTACCCGGCGGTGGACGAACACGCCGCGCCAGCCATTCTGCAGGAATCCCTGTCAACTCGAAGCAATCTCTTAAGTAGCCGGCCGGAATACAGACGCTTAAAGCGCTACCTTGTGCAAGGGATCCCGATGCTGGGGGCGGTGTGTGAGCGCCGCTTCGAGGCCGAATTTGCCCTTGGGGCCCCCACTTGCTGGCGTCCAAGACGTCCCCAACGGGCACCGCAACGGCGCTGCTGTCAAGCCCCATGTCCCCTACTGGGGGATGCTGTCCAGACTCTCTCTGCTTCGAAGACTCGCGACCGACGGGACTTGGTGGTTGCAAGACGTTCTTCCAATCATCGAAGCCGTAGGAGTCATTGTCCTGCAGAGGTCCCGATTGGAGTCCGCCGAGGAACCTCGGAGGGCCGCTGTCTGAAATCAACTCAACGTCCAACTTATCAAGGACGTGGTTAGAGGAGTGGGCCGTGTCGTCTTGCTGCCGCTCCGACCCTGAAGCAGAAGCAGCTGCGGAGCAGAGGTCAGGCGGGGTATTGGAAAAACGTGGACCGCTCAAGAAACCCGAACCTTCATCGTCAGGTTTGCCCGTATTGTTCAGGCCTAATTCGGCGCCAAAATCGGCGCCCCGTAGTGTAGGGAGTCGAAGATGATGGTCCTTTTGAGCCGTATGATCTGCACCCGCCTCCTGTACCGGGGGTGCGCGCTCTTCGGTGCTCGACGACGCGGACCCTTTCCGTCCGTGGCGGGCGACATTTTTCGGCCTCGCATGTCGCGCTTTGTCGGATGCCTCCGGGGGCCTGGAAGGCACGAATGGCCGAGCGTGCACATGTGTACCGGATGGAGGGCGCTCATCCTGGGCTTGGAAAGGGGGGCGTGGGTCGAAATACGGCAGTCTTTCAAGGTCGCCTCGACGAAGCCTTCCTGCCGACTCGAGCGAATGAATTCTCTTGAAAAACCAGGTTGGGACATCCTCTGCGACGCGGGCGGGCTTGACCAGTACTCGGACGCGGAATCTTCCTCCGGGTACAACTCAGGATTTGCCAAGCGACGTGCTCTACGCCACCTTGCGTAGCGTTCCACCTCGGATTCGCCGCCGCCCACGTTCTCGAATTCGCATTTTATCTTCAATCTGTGGCAGCGAACGCAGCTACCGCCGATCAAAGGAGCACCGATGCAGGGCACGCCGCGCTCAGCATCACTTTTCTTGCCGCTCTTGGGGGCCTTTTCACAACTGCGGCATCGCGCTCCCTGGCACCCCTCGTTTAGCTGCACGAAGTTCGAACAGTAGTTATGCTGTTTCTCACCTCCGGCCATTCAAATCGTCGTACGTCAAGCGTATCCTCCGGTGGAAAGCCTTTCTTCAGGGGGGGACATCCGCCGGAAGAGGATGCGCAGTTCTACATTGTTTCCGCTACGTATGCGCTTGGATAGATAAGAGGACTCTGGCTCGCTCTGCTTCGTCGTCATCAGCTGAGGAGTAGTACCTCACCTTGCGCTCTTAACATATGCTTACTGTTCTTATCGCTCTCTTCGTGTGCTTACAGGTCTATTATTCATATAGTGTTCTATCTGACTAGGGCTCCTTCGTGTGCACAGTCTTCCTGATCGTTCTCACGGGTTCCTCGGAAATCGCGACTGCCGCATCCGCAGGGCCGACTGACTGGTTTATCGGCCAGGCCGCTATCTCGAATAAAATCCCAACGGACGCACCCCCCTCACAGCCGTCGGTGGGTTCTGCAGTGCCGGGGATTGGATTTGAAGGCGGCGCGGCTTCTTCACCGGCCGCGATTTTCCCACCGGGGCCCTCCGAAAGTTTCCTCCTTGCTTCTTTTCCGTCGTTTGACACAATGTCAGAGTACGTTGGCTCATATAGGTGGCAAGACGCACCCTCTCTCTGCAGCTCCTCTATCGGCTCTGGTGCCCTCGACTTTCCTCGGGCAGCGGTAGATTTCGAGGCCGCCTCAACCTGGTTCAGCGCAGCGGCCGTAGACCGGCCTCGTGCGGGCAAGGGTGAGAGCTGTCGAGGCCACATTCCTGCAATGTAGGTGAGTCACCCCTTCTGATAGAGGTAGACAAAGCAGGTGTTGGTGAATTACCTATCCGGGTAGAGGACGAGGCCGTCCCTGGCACCGAACGCTCCCCTGATTATGGAGAAAGACGGTTGGTAAATGCGTAGCCCGGTTCTAGGTAGGAAGAACCTCACCGAGCTGCGGGACCCCCTTGTGATGCCTTGCCAGCTCGCCGGCTTTGCCTGTGGCATCGGAACGTTTTTTTCCGCCCACCAGGCTACATTAACAATTAGAGCGGGGAATGACGGGATATAGTCTGTGCACTTACTCGAATTCTTCCACCAGTCGCTCGAGACAGCCTCTTGAGGCAAAACCTTGACCAGCCCGTGGTCGTCCGGTGTCTGGGTCATTGTACCAATTCCGACAAACTGTGGGGGCATCTGACCTCCGGCATACAACGGCACCAGATTTTCGATTTGAATGGCGGCGTCGATTGCGTTCTTGCCCATATTTTCGCCCGGTTTCAACTTCGCCTCAACGTTGTAGATGGCCCTGTTGATCTCATACATGGCGGACAAGGCGAGCGATGGCAGCGTGTCCAGACAGTCACCCCCCCAGCTTCGGTAGCGACTAGCGAGGCGGTGAATGAGCCGTCGTAGCTCGTCTCGGTATACCTCCATGGACGCTGCCGGCTCCTGTGTGTCTCTCAGCGTCTGATAATGATGCCATGCGTAGTGAATTTGCGAAGCGATGTCCGACACTATATAGGCCTCTTCAGCGGACATCTGTGATGAACTCTGAGTAAGGCAGGGAAACCGACTGTAAGCACACGAAGAGGAGCGATCCTCAGTCAGTGATAGAACGACTATATTGAGGGCATAAGTAGTACCTGTAAGCACACGAAGAGGAGCGACTACAGATACAGTAAGCATATGTGTAAGGAGCGCATAGAAGTGTAGGTACTTACTCCTCAGTCAGTGATAGAACGACTGAAGAGCAGAGCGAGCCAGAGTCCTCCTTATATCTATCTCAGGAGCTGCATACGTAAGCGAATGATGGAGGACATATGTGGCGCAGAGGTCAGACCGGACAGAAGATGGATACGAGGCTGTACGGGCTGTGCGCTCAAGACAAAGAAAGTCCGTAAGTGGAACAAAGGAACAAGGAGAGAAGCGTAGAAGAACGAAATGGAAGAGATAAGGAACTACAAGGCAGTGAAGTGACATATGGAACTATGGGAAGTATCTCACAGAGTCCATGTGGATGCGTAAACTGATCTGACTCCCGGCCTTATGTGCAGACATCTGATGCTCTGTATCCGGACCGGACATCATGAAATGTTGGTGGTGGGAGAAGGAGGTCGAGGTGATGGAGGGGTGTCGGGCGGTCGGTTCAGCGCGGTCGATGATAGATATGTATGCGTCGGCCTACGGACGGCCGGCATCATACGTAAGCGTACAGAGGCGCCTGCATCTTGCATTATTCGAACGACGCGCACGTGACAGCCAGTTCGGTGGATCGAATTCGGGCTAGCTATGTTTGAGGTGTTCGTTTCGTTTGTACTCGACGTTCTCGCACAGGTCGCTCCGCATGATGCACACAAGGCATTGTCACATGGGATGGGGTAGAGAGTCTGGTACTTAGTATACGGCACTCATTGTTTCAATATAAGTACACCTATGTCCTCGCTTTCTGGCCTGGCCCTCGACCTTCGCGTCGCCCTTCACCTTCGTCGCCCCCCTCCGTCGCGTCCCGGCCCTGCGCGTCGCCCACCTCTGAATCCGTGTCGCCCTCTCCTCTTCTCGTGCGCGCGAGCACGCCTCAAGGCTTCTTGAAGGACCTGCTCTGCGTGGCTCGGGACGGTGTCCCCTCCCCACCTCCGCCTCCACCGCTCCCTCCTTCACATCACTCTCCTTCACTTCCTGCGAGCGCGTCTCACTTGTTCGCGCGAGCACGTCCTACCCGCGCTTTCGACGCTTGTTCAACTCGCGGGGGACGGGGCCTCGCATCCCCCTGCCCCGGTCCTGGTCCTCTGCCTCCACCTCGCCCTCTCCGCGTCGCCCTTCTCCGATCTTGCGCGCGTTGCGCTCCATCGGGTTAAAATATATTTATTATACATACTGGGGTTAGAGCCTAGGAAGGAATGCCGCGGCCCCGCGACAACACAGAGGCAGAGGTGGGGGAGGAGGGCGACGCGGCGAGGTGGATGGGGGCGAGGTGGACAGAGGCGACATAAACGTGGGTGACGCGGACGCGAGCGGCGCAAAGGCTGGCAATGCGGAGGTGTGCAGCACGAAGGACGGTGGCGCGGGCGGGCGACGTGGGCGTAGGAAGAGAGCGGCGCGGAGGAGGACGTCCGCCAGACCTGTAGTAGTTGTCGACAGGGCGGCAGGGGCGCCCATCATGATGGGTGGGCGTGTGGGGAGTGCAGGAAGGCGGAGCCGCGAGCGCCGATCGGTAATTTCTCACACGTTAGGGTCTGCAGGCGTCTGCACCGGTCAGAGCCAACCGTTCTGACGCTTTTTTATTCCAATCCAACAGACGTCCCAAGTTCCAACCAATAAATTGGATTTGGTTGGATTTGGTTGGCAGCGACGCTCTGTTGTCCAACCGGAGCTCCAGTGTTCCAACGTAGGTATGAGCGGGGAAATTGATGCATTTTCGTGACTACTAGATTACTGCTACGGGCATGGGTGCGAGAGTCGGAACGGGGAGGTTCAACATCACGTTGTCCTCCCCCTGGAGGCGGAGCGGCGCGAGATCGGGGACGAGAGCGACTTCGACGTACTCGAGCCATCCGCGGTCGCCACGAGTGCAACGCGCACACGGTGCCAGTGCCTCCCAAACGATGCAGCTCCACACGCGGACGCGTGGGGCAGGAGGATCGACAATCACCAACGGCGGCGGCGTGGAGCGTGCCGCCGGAGCGTCGCCGAAGGCGTTGCCGACAAACAACGTCGGAGACGTGTCTTCAAGCGGCAGCTTCCGATTGGCATTGTAGATCGAGTCAAGAGGCAACGGTGTTGTGGAGCGTGCCGGTGGGACCACGAGCTGGCAGTTGACCTCCTCGACCCTACACCGGGGGAGCTCGTTCTCTTGCCTGGGCTCGTGGATGCGGATCAACATTGAAGGAATCGTGACTTGACGTGACACGACTGACGCAGGTAAGCGGGTGAGGTGGTGACTCAGGTGCGACGACACAGCCATTCCTCACCGCGCATGTGCCGAGGATTCACATGGGAAGAGTCTCCGTGTGCGCACGTACAGGAACAAGTCAGGGTGCGGAAGACGGGGAGACGAAGAGCAAACGGATATGAGCGCGGACAAGGAAGTCAAGCAAACCAAGAGAAAACGCACCGTAAAAGAGCGGGGCCGTTGCAAGTGATGGTCGGTTGTTAAGAGGGGAAGAAGCGGGAGGTGCTGGTCGAGCAGGACTTGACCGCAGCGGTAAACGTCCGCCGATAAGACGACGTCCCGATCGCCTGCGGGGCGCGATAAATACGAGCGTGAGGGAAGTCTAAAGCGGATGGATGGCACGAGGAGGCGGGTACGCACGGGAGAAGATGTGCTCGTGTATACAGGTGAGCTGGATTTTCACCTTGGGGGAGTCGGTCACGATGAGGCAGTTGGCAATGCTCTCAGCGATGGTCTTGGAAACGGCGACGCGGAGGAGGCTCTGGATCTGGATCCTGGACGCGACAGACGATTAGGGGGCTCGGGCAGGTCGTCGTCAAAGTAGTCCATGAGCACGGTGACGTCCGCCGCCCATCGGTTGATTTGCTTAACACCATGTTCTGTGCACGCACGCAGAGCACATGGGGGAGGGCCGAGCGGGTTGAGGGACATGCGGATCGCAGCAGTCTGACCGGACAGGCGTACCTTGATCGGAAAATCGTTGACCGAGTTCCCGCCCAGCTTGCTGCAGCGGTTGCACTGCGTTGTGGCGGGCGGATGCGGCGATGTGCGACACAGTGGCAACGGCCGCGCCGGAGGAGCGAGCGTCCCGTGCACGGTTGCAGGGACGCGCTCGTTGTGGGGACGGAGGAGGTGGTGCGGCCGGGGCTGGGGAGGTGGTGAGCGAGGTGGGGAGTGCACATAGTGGGGGACTCACCAAAACAAACAGCCCCGAAACAGCTCCTCGAGAATAGCGGGGGTGAGGGAGGGGGGCACGTTGGCGTGCTCCACGTACGTTGAGGATGCTGCACGATCGGGAGGAAAAGACGGGGAGCACAGAGACGACAGGGACGATACGGAGGAGTACATACGGGAGTGCCAGCGCCGCAGAGTCAGAGACGTGTACATGGGAATCGACGCGCGTTGCGTGGACACCAGCGCTTAGCATTACCAGCACCATCCTCCGTCCTCTTCTAACTCAAGAGTCTGGCCTCGTACGGACCTCCCATACGTGCGTCGCCTACTCTACTCTCTGTATTGTCTACACGATGACCCTGATCTTCTTTAGCACGCTCGGCCACACTTCGTATTGAGCGGACCCTTGTGAACATCTTTCCCCCTCGACCCCAGGCCACTCGACCCCAGGCCACTCGACCCCAGCCACTCGACCCCCCCCCCCAGTCTTCCGTCGACCAATGGCCGTGCTTGTCCACGCGGTGACCGCGACACGTCCCAACCTACCGCTTCCACAACGCCTCCCATCATGTTGAAACCGCGTCGTCCCCTCGCCCGCGCCGTCGCCATCTCTCGCCCGCGTCGCACACCTCGCCCGCGTCACCAGTCTCGTCGCCCGCAATTTTTCCACCTTACCCAAGTCGCCCACGTCTTCCGCATCACCGTGTTGTCCACCTCGCCTGGACGAAGCTCTGTGGGTGCTGGGGCTCCGCGATCGCGCACCCCAGTCATGATCGTGCTCTTCCTTCCCTCCGGTGAGCAACAGTCTACATGTCTCCGGTAACGATACTGACGCACTCGGCGCTGAAGCTCTTCGGGCACGAGATTGCCGCCATTCTGGTCGGCGACATCTGCGGCCTCTGGATCGGGTTCGGCATCGTGGCCACGGGCACGCTCATTCGCGAGTTCATAAACTACCTGTGTGTCCCGCCTCGGCCTTTACCCGTTTGAGCCCCCTACAGGTCCGCATGCCACTCGATGACCATTGGCTCACCTCCCAGGCTTAGATCCATACGCATATAGTCAGTGACAGGGTAACACTGTCTATCAGCGTGCGTAACCCACTCTTCTATGTTGCTTATCGCCGCTGACGTTCTCTTGGTACTAGCGACGCGCTCTCAATACTCCACTTGCTTACTCACTCCGCCTTCAACCTGGTACGTACAGCCATCCCTCCCATGTTGGCTTACATATGCTCAATAGTACATCGCTCCCCCCACAGCTGCCCTTTGTGCATCGACCGTGTTCCCCGGTAGGCCCACGAGTCCAGGACGTCGACGAGCTCATTGATACGGTCTCAAGAGAGGAAGGCACGAGATGGGAGATGGAAGATGTGCGCTCGCGCGCGGCGAGCCTGACGGACTCGGACATCGACATTGAGTAGATGTGCTCTGGGATCACGGACGGCGAGGTGGCGTACTTTCCTCCCTCTGCTCTCTTTTGCTGATATGTTTCCTCCCCCATGCGCGCCCTCGCCCGTCCATTCCTCCTTCGCTGTCGCGCCTCTCTCCGCTTCGCCCCTCACTCCGACCCGTCATCCCCGCTGGCACGGACGCACAGACTCCCGCGCAATACACGTAAGCCTGGCGTGCGTACACGCTTTACGGCTGCGTCCATCCTTGGGACGGCCTCGTCGTTCTCCGCGTCGCGGACCCCGGTGTGCGGCAGCGGCGCCCTCCCCACCGTCTTCTGCGAGTACGTCAGCGGTGGGCGCTCGCTCATTGGGCGCTAGCGTCGTCGTCTCCAAGGTCGGCCGTCCGCCTGCTCCTACTCCTGGCGTGGGGCCAGGGCCTGGGGGGGGGCATGCTGAAGAAGACATAGATCCTCGCCTTCGCCTTGTGCCCTGAGCCCTCTGTGCCGATATCTACACAGTGTCTCATCGTGTATTATATGCTAAATCCCTTAGTGTGGCACCGTTATTGCCCTTTGGTGACCGCGCCATAGCCTTTTGGTGGCACCGTTTTGTGAACCACCCCCGATTCACTTCAAACTTAACATCAAGGTACATATTATCATTTTCGTTATATCTGTGCAATTTCTTTCATGTATCTTGATGTCCCCTATGCTCAATGAAGGCTCTGATCTCGCTCGACGGCATGTAGAATAATTGAGCGCTTGTTGACACGCGTCGGGCGTCTCCTTTCAAATCGAGCGCCTGATCTGTCCGGAATGATGCTGGTATCGGGCGCCCCATTACTAAACGTGACCGTATGTCGAACGCGCGAGAACATACCCCGTCGGCATGAACAGACCCTGTCTCACGTGACAAAGCAGAGACGGCTTAGATCTAATGGTCTCTGGCGTGGTCACGCGTGGTCATGGGTGAGTACTAGTGATTGTGTCATCATGCGTGTTCACTAGCGAGTGGTCACGTTGTCACGCGTGTTCAACGGCGAGTGCACATCAGCAAAGTGGGTGCACGCGCGACAGAGCTCTGTAGTGCGCTGCAGTACGTCAGAGGGCACTATCATTATTTGTAGTTCAGACGAACAATGATCTGATAGTATCCATGTTTGGTAGATTAGCGGCGGCGACGTTCGACATTCATCTGCATCTGTCGGACAAGACGCTGTCCGACCATACATGATCAGACGCCAGTGAACGCCCGATTGAATCCCGGTGGGTGAATGATCATTAGTTAGCCTTTGTATGATATAACATCATCTGTGCAGCCGATATACGACAGTGCATGTTTGACCCGACAAAGACCTATCGAGTGCGATCAGACGAGTCGCGGGATGCCTGTTGCGCTGGTGCTATCCACCCACTTCATGTGCACACTTAAAGCAGGACACAGTCTGCCAGGTGTGCAGCCAAAAACCATTGCATTACTACTACATATCAAGTAATGTACACAATAGCATGTTAGAATAAGCGTCAGAAATGCGGACGGTAGGTTGACTATGTGTAGTAGAGCACAGACATGCGCACGGACGAACACCGTCGGACTCGGTCGTGGTCGCGGGCGAGGCGCTGGTACGTGCGCGTTGGACGTGGGCGTAGGGCCGAAGTGTCCTACGCAGCGGGACGCAGGGGCATACGACGTGGGGCCAGGGGTAATATCTGACGTGGGAGCGGGCACAGGCGCAGAGGAGGAGGACGCATGCGAGGGCAATGCAGGAAATGGTCACAGGACTGAGACCAACTCACTCGGGGATGTGTGCGTCTTAGATCTCACTGGGTGCACCCCTGTGCACCCTCATGCTCATACAGTGGCGGCATGTCCCTGACCTTCAGTCGGAGGACGTGCCGGCAGAGGTCGAGGCCGAGTGCGTGAACTTGCTGATGCACAGCAGCAGCCGAAGGTGCATTGGGGCGTCCGGGGACCGAGCAGTGCGAGGGCGGTGAGCGCGATGTTAAGTTGGTGGTTCGAGCGGGACGTAGTAAGCGCGGGGCGGACGGAGTAGGAGTCGGATGGCACGTACAAGAACCAGAGCAGCGTAGTCGCTGGCGACATGCCGACGTCGCACCGCGAGCCGCGCGTGGGCGACGGACTCGATGGCCTCGAACCTGGGGTTATCCCACTGGACGACGTCGAAGTCGGTGAAGGGGGGGAGGTGGACGCGCAGGATGCGGAAGGGTGTATCGGGAGGTGGACATGTTCAAGAGTGCAGGGAGGCGGACGCATTGAGCGCGGGGAGGTGCTCACCTGAGAAGTTGTATTCCCACTCATAAAATGGTTCAGTGCCAGCAGCGCAGCACTTGCTGTCTATCGAAGATTGGTGAAGCAGGAGAAAAAGAAGAGAGAGGGAAGAGGTTTGTACTGCCACGAAGTGCGTGGCCCCAGTAGTATAAATATTCTTGCTGAGCTGAGTTCATGTTGACCAGGATACGGTTGCCAGACGAGACCAGGCTGTGCAGCTGCGTTCGGACCGAGACGCGGAGATCCGAGACTCTGGTGAGGGCACGAGCACTGTGGGACAGGATTTCCGATGGCGTATCGGAGGAGGAAGGGAGCGGAGTGCACGAACGCGGAGGAGAGGAGAAGAAGAGAGAAGGATAGGTGCGGGACGAGAGGGTGCACGCCGCGGGCGCTACTTTGAAGATGGACGGTGCGCAGGTATAGTGGGCGGCACGAAGTTACATCTATCATAGTACATCTGGCTCCCTAGTGCGTTCTCAATAAACGTCTTACCGGACTATCACCGCTCGAGCAGAGCCCTACAAGACGCAAGTCGATCGTGTCCGATCATTGGGCATCCGGTCCGACGATGTCTGCCGTCTGCCGAGCTGACATCATCCGCTTTCGCCGGGCGCCACAGCGCTCGATCGGCCGCCCCTCGTTTTGCTGATGTGACAGCGAGGTCATGCGAGGTCTTGACACAGGGGCCAAACGAACATGTTCGACCTACCCTGTGAGCCGATTTGTTCTCGCCATGGTCACCAAGGAGGGGTTCTTTGTTCTTGCATGCTCAAAATGAAGCGGGGGTTTGTTCTCGGTTGTGCATACAGAAGCTGTGGGCTGATCTAGCCAAGATCTAGCATGTGCTTACACTAGCGGTCACCGGTTCACTGTGTGCCCTCGAAGAGGTGAAACTCGCCTGTCACGTCACCTGGCAGTTCTGGGTGGTATCGCCCTCAGGTGTGGTGAGAATACGAGGTTTGCGTCATTAACGCCAGTCGAGTTCCACCGTCTGACTTGGTGAACCGAGAAGGGGTTTTTAAGTAAGATTTTGCAACCATTCACCAACTGAGAAGAGGTGGAAATGCGTATGTGTCTGGTCGAGTATCGATTCATGCGATTGACGAGTAAACCGGTGAAAATACACTGAAGAGAAAGAGGTATTTATAGTTATGTTTTCACCACTATTACTGGCAGTTATAGCCACCACACAAGGACGTTTTGCACCAATGAATGGAGTGAGATCGGAGCACACCGGATTCGGGACAATCAACCGCAATAACACGGTGATGTGAATACGGAATACTATGCTACATGAAATCGACGCTCGCGATCAAGAGGCTGCAGCCTGCGCGGACGATCGACTCACCCGATGGAACCAGGTCGTCAACACCGCGGTACCCATTACCTCCTGTGCCCTGATCCGTCGGTCCCTTCGCCGTTGTCCTCACTCAAGACGGCGTCGATGAGCTCGTCGACGTCCACGTCAAG